TGCTTGGGAGCATGAGTTGGAGAACATGTAATACTTGGAACTTAACAGAACCCTATGATAAAGAGAGAACAAAATTCTGTCACTTCCTCATTCCTATGTACCTTATATTCCAGGTTTTTCCCATTTTGGTAACATAGTCAGTTTCAAACCACTGAAAGCATGTATTATATGATGATCAGTGGCATTGAGAAAACCCTGGAAGTGAAAAGGGAGAGTCCTGGGCCCCATTGCTCTGACTACTGATATCCTTGGGCCACCTTTGATTGCAGGAGGGTCACTATAGGTCATCTGCTCCCATGACTTTAAAAGAAATCATAGGTAGCTGCTCCCCATGACTTTATAAGAAATCATGCCCAAACCATGTTCATCACAACAAAAGGAGACACTTTTTTCTCTTCCTTGCCTTAAACATAGACTCTAAGAGGAAAGATTGTGATCACTTCCTCAATTCTAAAGTCCCTGTTATCTTTTAAAAATTATATATAGAACATTAAAAAGCCATTGAGTAAATTACTATGTAAATATTCAAAGTGTGCTTCAGGATACTGTAGTAGGATGAAATATGTTAACAGTTATTTAAAGTAGTGAATAGGAATATCTACTTATATACAAAAGAAAGCTGGAGGGGCTATACTAATAACAGATAAAGCAGACTTTAGAAAAAAATTGTTACTAGAGATAAAGGGAAGATATTTTATAATAATAACATCATCCTTGCAGAAGGACATATCAATTGAAAATATACATGAAGTTTTGAGGGTAAAGTTAATGGTAGAGTGCTTGCTGAGGCTCTGCATTCAATCTTCAGCACTATACACACACACACACACACACACACACACACACACCACGTGCAGCTAACAATAGAGCCCCCAAATACATAAAGCAAAAACTGACATGAAGAGAGTAATAGGCAGTTGAACAATAATAGTTGGGAACCTTCCTGCCCTTCTTTCAATAAAGGATAGTAAAATTGCTATCCTTTATTAGATTAATAAGGAAATAGAGGACTTGAATAGCTCTATAAGCCAACTAGACCTAACAGACTTCTGTAAAACACTTTATCTGATAACAGCAAGATGCACCTTCTCAAATGGACATAGAATATTCTCTGAAAGATCATATGCAAGGCCATGAACAGACATCAGTTAGTTGAAATTATACAAATTAAATGCCCCAACCAGTTTTGTTACTCAGCATTCTGTTGTTGTAACAAAATTCTTAAAATGATCAATTTAAAAAAGAGGAAAGGTTTATTTTTGTTCACAGCTGTGGAGGTTTCCATCCATGGTCAGTTGGCCCTCTTGCTTTGGTCCTATGGTAAGATGGTATGTAATAGTGGGAGGATGTGGTAGAGCAAGCTGGTAACCTCTTGGTGGCAAGGGAACAAGAAAAAGAAAAGAGAGAGGAAGAGACCAGCATACACCAGTCCCCTTCAAGGGCAGGCCAGCAGTGACTTACGACTTCTCACTTGGCCACACCTCTTAAGGGTTCCACCATCCTCCGTAGTGCCAACTAGACTGTGACCAAGCCAAAAGGAAGACTCAAAGTCTAAAGTCAGGAATCGATAAAAAGATATGCTGTATGCCCTTTAGGACAATTTCCAGAGACTTTAATCACTTTATTTATTAATGATGGAGTTTTATGGGGAAACTGGTTCTACCAGGCTTTTATACTAGTATTCTGGAGTGGTTCTCATGACCTGTCACTATTCAGCATGCATTTTGGGGGTGTAAATAGCCACTGTGTGGTTAGCATACTCAAGAAATACAACATTAGGAATGAAAAAAAATTAATGTTGATTATGTACTGATGGCTGATAACTGTACTGCAGTGTTTATCATGCAGGCTTTGCTAAACTTTTGAGTCATGGGACATCCTGAGGCACATTTGCATCATACACACTCACAAGGGCCCAAGACAGGAGCCCCAGAAGTGTCAGGCCTCTTCTTCAGCTGGAGCCTGGCAGCAGAGGCAGAGCATGGCTCAGGGCCTGGATACACAGCTGCAGCCTGCAGGTGGCTCAGCTGTCCTACTTAGAAGCCTCATTTACCCAGTGTAACAGTCACAGAGGGAGCTCCAGAAGGCATAGTAGTCATGGCTGTGGGGGCACAAGCAATGGAATGGACACCACAGGTTCATAGGCCTCTATTCCAGGTGCTGTCTGCCCATCAGAGGTCATTTTTTGCCATATGTGCCCATTGCCTGGCAGCATGGCTATTGACGTTTTGGAGCCAGAACATGAACTATGAGTCAAATTCTCACACAGAAAGAGAGGAGTTTCATTAATCCTTTATCTACAGTAGTCTGTGTTCAGATTTTGCCAGTACCCCAGTTCTGTCCTTGATGGCAACCTATTCCCGCAGTCTTGCCTCAGCTGTTGCGTTTAGTTACCTTGGATCTTCTGTTTGTTTTAACCTGTGATGGTTCTTCAGTCTTTCTTTTTCTTCATGACCTTGCTGGTTTTGAAGGATGAAGGACAGCTGTGAGACAGTTTAGGTTTGTCTAATGTTTCCTTGTGATTGGTTTCAGGCTGTGCGTTTGGCAGGAGTGTGGTGGATGTTCTGTTAGGTTCTTCTCAAGGCACCCACTCAAGAAGCACTTGATGTCAAAATCCCATCGCTGGTTGTTTTAGTCAGCTCATTCACTGCTATGACCAAAAGGCCCGATGAGAACAATTTTAAGGAAGAAAAGTTTATTTTTGGGGCTCACAGTTTCAGAGGTCTCAATCCAAAGATGGCCGACTCCATTCCTTGGGGCCTGAGGCAGAACATCATGGCAGAACGGTGTGGTGGAGGAAAGCAGCTCAGACATGGCACCAGGAAGCAGAGAGCGAGCGAACTCTGCTCAACAAGGACAGAATATAAACCCCAAAGGGGCACCCCCAGGGACCTGCCCCCTCCAGCCATACCCTTCCTGCCTATAGTTATCACCCAGTTCATCTCTATCAGGGAATTAATTCACTGATTGTATTAAAATTCTCATAACCCAGTCATTTTACCTCTAAACTTTCTTGCTTTGTCTCACACACATGAGCTTTTCTTTCTTTTTTTTTTTTTAAGATTATGATTCTTTTATTAACAGGGGTTTTGGTCATTTGAACCAAAAATATATATATTTAAGGGGGTCTTTGTTTTGCAAGGCAATCAAACACTTAGTGCACGTATGGTTTCTGACCTCAAACATCTGTTGGGTCACACATGAGCTTTTCTTTAAATTTTTTTTTTCAGTTGTAGATGGACACAGTACCTTTATTTATTTATTTTTATGTTGTGCTGAAGATCAAACCCAGTGCCTCACACATGCTAGGCAAGCATCTACCACTAAGCCACAGCCCCAGCCCTCACACACGATCTTTTGGGGGGGCATCTCGTATCTAAACTGTAACACTGGTGATGTTAACTGTGACCATTTGGTTAATAAGTTGATGTCTGCCAGACTTTTCTAGCATCAAAATAACTTTTTCTTTTTGTGATTAATTAATAAAAATAAAAAGGACCTATGGAGGTGATTCATTGACAATCTTGTTCTGAAACAAACAAGATAAAAATATAGCAAAGATATTTTTTGCAACCAACACAGGCTGACCTAAGAAAACAGATGCTTTCATTGGCTTCTTTTAGTATCCACTGGTTCTTTCCTGAATCAGTTTTTATTGTGATGCTGTCAGATGGTGACATTCCTCCTATTCAGTCTTTATTTGTCATGATCATTATCATTGTTTGTTTGTTTTTTGGTACTAGGAATTGAACCCAGAGGTACCTAACCACTGAGCTATGTCCCCAGCTCTTTTAATTTTTTATTTTGAGACAGGGTCTTGCTAAGTTGCTTAGGGTCTTTCTGTGTTGCTTAGGATGGCCTTGAACTCCGGAACTCAAACTGTCCTGTCTTGGTACTACAGGAACATACCAACTCATCCAGTTCAAACATTACTTAATGACCCTGTTTTGCTTTTTAAGTACTTATTGTAATACTTGTAGCTCTGCCCGCATATTAAGCAAGCAGGCTTTCTCTGTTTGTTATTCCAAATTCTTGTGGTTACTATTGAGAATTTAGAAGTCCGGTTAGAAAAAAAAGAATCCAGTTATAATTGGGAATTTTAATCAGGAAAAGCAATCAGAATAGGAACATTGTGTCATCTAACGAAGGACAATAGGTCCCAAAGGTTGGGAGGCCCTCTCCACTAAGTGCCTGTCCCAAGGAATAAGACAAGAACCAATGAATGTGATGGGGAGGCCAGACTGTCCTCACCTCTGCCTGCCCTGCTTGGGGATATGTGAGGATGACAAGAGAATACAAGGGAATAATGATGTAAAGTGTCAACACACTGAGTGGCTAGAAGGATCTGGTGCCCAAGTGGTTGAAAAGAGCTATATCAGAAGGATTCTAAATCAGGAAAATTGAGTAACCACTTTAAGGAGGAAGTCATTGAACCCTATAATAGTAAAATTATCATATAAATGGGTTACAGTAAATGCATGAGAGAGTTGGACTTTAAAGACTGTGTCATTTGGGAGTGATGTAAAACTCCATTCCAAAGAATACTCGTGTCTCTGTAGTGGCTTGCTGAGCCAAGAAAACTAATTTATAAAGCTTTCATCTGTTTTCTTAGGTCAGCCTGTGTTGGTTGCAAAAAATATCTTTGCTATATTTAGTGGTTTGTCATCTTGCTATTTATAGACTAAAGATTATTTATAGGGTGAATAAACAGCATGACATTCATTATTCTTTTCAATTTTAGTTTTCACATGATGATTTCTCTTTTAAGTTAGTTGCTTATAAACCTCCTACTCACTGACATATGTATCTTTTTTTCTTTTCTTTTTTTTAAATTGTAGATGGGCACTACCTTTATTTTATTTGTTTTATGTGGTGCTGGGGGTCAAACTCAGTGCCTCATGCATGCTAGGCAAGCACTCTATCGCTTAGCCACAATCCCGGCCCCTGACATATGTATCTTACAAACCTACTTACATGACATTTTTCTCATTCTTCTGTAGGTACCTCTTATTTAACAGACATCGTGTGGTGGGCTGGCACAATTGCAAGTAAGTTGCCCTGGTGGTGAAGTCTGGTCTTTTTGTTTCTCTCTGAAGGTCAGTCATTCATCTGGGCAGGGCTGGAGCCAGCAGATGAGTTTGGCTCTGTCTTTTGGAGGAGGGTGCCACTTTTCCTCTTCCTAGGCTTTGAATATCCATGATGCCACCCACTCCCTCCTGAGAGTCACTGGCCTTACCCCCTTTGTCCTTTCCTTTTTTGGAAGGGAGTTCATGGAATGGTGTAGAATGACCACCAGGAAGGAGACAGCAGAGGCTCCTGCTGCCCATGCTTATTCCTGAATCCAGTCTGGGTGAACCTGCCCTGGGCCTGCTTACTCATCCATAGCAGGTCTGATGGCTTTTGGCAGAATTCCATGTGTTAAGCTGCCTCATTTTGCTCAACACATTTGATTTAAGAAGGAGCATTTCTTGACTCAACTCAGAGACCAGATCAGAGGTCATGTGCTATAATATAAAAATAAATAATAAAATCAGAGTTCAGAACTGTAAGAGTGTAAAGGACAATTGTATTAGAGGTTTCAGAAATATCATGTGGTTTACTTGTTATATATTATCTGTTAAGCAAGACATTACCTGCCAAGGCTGATACTATTCATTAAAAAGAACTTCCCTTTAAGTACTCTCAGGTTGAAAGACTCTCCCTCAGACTCTCTTTGGATGGAGCCCCTGGGGCAGTCCTGTGCAGACAGCAGTTTTTACTTGGTGGCCCAATAACTTAGCCCTATGGCCAGCTGCCTTCTCTAGAGGGGGGTCTCAGGCCACTTGAAGATACATGGAAGGTCTACCCAACTTGGGAAGAGGCTGATCAATGAATAATAAAATACAGTTAGATAGGAATAAGATGGTCTGGTTTTGTATTGCACAGTATTGTACAGTAGAGTGACTGTAGGTAGTGATAACATTGCATATTTTTAAAAAGCTAGAAGAAAGGATTTCTAGTGTTTATACCATAAAGAAATGTTGTATGGTCAAGTAAATAGATATATTTAATTTAAACATTACACACTGTATACATGTGTCAGAGCATCACATGGTACCCCATAAGTATATACAATTTGTATGTTTCAGTTAAAAAATGAATTTTAAAAATAAGATTTTTTAAAAGATTATAGTAAAAGTAGTGTTTTAAAATTATATAATTTTTTTTAAAAACTTACAAGGATGTGTTAAGGAAGTAGAAATGTACTCAGTACTGCACTTATTGCCAGTTACTGCCAGTTACATTGGCTGTTTCCCTAAAGGGCTGGAGCTTTTCCCTGGCTAACTACACCAGTGAAGCTGCAGGATCTTCTCTGTGTTCTCATGACCCTGAAACATAAGTGACACCCAGATTTGCTTCCTCACAAGCAGTGGAAAAGAAGTAGCCCTTTCAGAGCAAGGCCTTGCAAAATTCAACTCTGTGATCAGTGCTAAAAGTGAGCTCTGTAATTGCAAGTAGTGTCCTTGTGATTCTCTTGACAGTGGCTGTTGGCCAGATTGGAAACTTCCTGGCTTACACGGCAGTCCCCACGGTCCTGGTGACTCCCCTGGGTGCGCTTGGAGTGCCATTCGGGTGAGAGCTGAGATTCTGTGTTTTGATATTGTATGTTAGTTTAGATTATGTTAAAAAAACTTTCCATTTTATGTGTTTCTGTTTTTTTTTAAGAAAGGAAAATTTTAAGTAAAGATAGGGCTTCAGATTCCACTCTATATCATTTAATTTTATTCCTTCAAATGTAGTTCTGTGTATTATTAACCCTTCTCTTAGAATTTACTTTAGTGTACTTTAAATTCCAATTTATTCAAGGTTACCAGTGAATCTGATGCTATTCACTCTCAAGTACTTTGCTCTGGAAAATCTCTTAGAAATCAGAGTCTTCCTTAACACCCTGGCAAGTTATTCTGAGAAAGCACGAAGCAAAATGTGTCAATGGTGTTTTATTTGGGTGTTTAGCATCCTTTGCTGGACTCTGGACAGTGGCCCACATTACTCTATGAAATTATATAGGTTGGGACAAATTACTCATGGGTACCAATGTACATAAAATAAGGTTTATGATTCACACAGTAAGTAGCAAAGGATACCCCACTCCCCACCCCCCAAAAAGGGCTCTCATTTGGTCCTGTGTGAAAACAAGAGTTTGAAGGGTGCTGCCGGGTGTAGTGGTGCACGCCTGTTATCCCACTGGCTCGAGAGCCTGAGGCAGAAGCCTGAGGCTGGAGGATCGTGAGTTCAAAGCCAGCCTCAGCAACTGCGAGGCATTAAGCAACTCAGTGAGAATACAAAATAGGACTGGGGATGTGGCTCAGTGGTAGAGTGCCACTGAGTTCAATGCCTAGTACCAAAAAAAAAAAAAAAATTGAAAGTGCTTTGGGTTTTTCCTCTAGGTGTGTGCTTTTGAAGGTTTGCACACTGAAGCTGAGTCTTTCATGGTGTGAAATATCTGCCCACACCAAAGGTTCAGGGAATCCAGGGACAGAGAATGTGAACAGGCTTTCTTACCATATTTCCCAGATGTAGGGAAAAGGAGAGGAGTTGAAGGCTGCCAGCTGTCAAATATTACAAATGGAATTCCTGAGACTGGGTAATTTTTTTTTTAAAGAGAGAGAGAATTTCAATATTTATTTTTCAGTTTTTGGAGGACACAACATCTTTTGTTTGTATGTGGTGCTGAGGATCGAACCCGAGCCGCATGCATGCCAGGCGAGCGCGCTACCGCTTGAGCCACATCCCCAGCCCTGAGACTGGGTAATTTTTAAATAAAAGAGATTTTATTTTGATTCATGGTAGTGGAAAGTCCAGGTTCAGGCAAGTGCCCCACGTTATTTGAGTTTGTGGCAGAAAGTGAAGGAGGCCAAACACGAGGAACAACCTCACATTAAAACAGCCCATTCTAGTGATAACTAATCCAAACCTGTCAGAACTGCACTGTCCCTCTCAATGACTGATCACCTCTTACAGGCCACCAGCTCTAAATAATGTTGCCTTGTGAATCAAATATCAACATCAGTCTTAGCAGGGACAAACCTTATCCATACCGTAGCACTTGGCTGACTACAAAAATTATTTTTATGTGACATTTATTTTATAGCTCAACACATATCTTTGTGAACATATTTACATTCTGCTTTACTTTCAAATAAATCATTAATAAATAGGGTAGAAGAGAAATAAAGTTTCTAACTCATAGATTCATTGGTTTTCAGCTATATTCCAGACAGACCCCCAAATCCTTGGCAGAGAAGGGCATCTATGACGGATATGTTTATGTTTCACTTTAAATTCACTGAGGCTTAAAGTTCTGTGGTTTAAAAATCACAAGCCATGTTTATCACATATGAAGCTTTGGAACTATGTTGTAGCACATTGTTCTTATGCAGATGTGTTCGATCCCTGCGTGGCTTAGCATCACTTTGTTTTTTGGATGACTCTGAAAAGCTGGGAGGGCCAGAGTGGTGCTCACATCTAGAGTCACTCCTCCAGCTTCCTCAGTTCATTCCCCTGGAAGATAATCAAGCTAACCCCATTATCTTTTATGTGGCACATTTAATGTGTACATATTAAAATGCCTTGCCTAGGTAATTTCCTAAGAACTGTTCTTATGCACTTTGATAGTTGAGTTACTTAACCAGAAATGCTCACTGCTCCAAGTCTGCAGAGGATGTTATTCACCCAAAGAAATGTGGGACATGCCATTTTGGATAAAAGAGTGCCAACTCAGGATTCCAATTTCCTTTTCTCTCACCCTTTCCAAGAAGCGAACCCATGGCTTTGTGCGTGCTAGGCAAGTGCTCTACCACTGTGTTTCATTACAGCCTTAGCCCTGAACTACTACTTTTTTTTAAAAAAGAAAAAAGTTAAAATTAATTTGGAAAAAAAATCACAAAAATATAAGTGCACATATATGTATGTATACATGTATAGATATTTTATAAGACTTTCTTTTGATATTGGGATGAGTTGCTTGTATTACATAGACCAGAAATGAAAAGAATATGGCACTAGGAGAAAATAAGTCTATCAGAGAAAAGAATGAAGAACCCCAAAATATGTCCATTTTTCCTGTAACAATTTAATGAATGATAAAGTAAATATCAAAACATTTTAAAAAGTGGGTTTTTAAAAAACTTCTTATTTGGAAATTAAGAAAAAAGGTGCAAGTTTAGGAAAAATCTTAACACTCATATCACTTTGCTTAGACACATGTTAGTGACGTTTTACCCCTCTTGTTCTATTAGTTACTTTCTTTATATTAGAGTTTCTTGCTTTGGTACTATTGACATCTGAGGCCAGGTATTTCTCTATCATGTATGTCCTGTGCATTGTAGGGTGTCTGGCAGCATCCCTGGCTCCACCTACCAGATGCCAGTAGCATTCACCCTCTCCCCAAAATGTCTCTGAACATCAGCAATTCATCCTTAGTTAAAAACCACTATTCTCTATGTATGTGGGATTTATTTTGTTTTTCATGTTCTGGGGTTGTTTATAAATCCATTTGAAGGTAAGGTTTGTTTGTTTGTTTGTTTGTTTGTTTTACAAAGGTGGGAATAGAACCCAGGGCTTCACATATGCTGGGCAAGCACTCTTCCATGAACTTACATTTCCAGCCCCTGAGATTAAGTAATAATGCATCATGATTATTATGTACTTCCAAAAACTAAAGAAATTCTCTGCATAACCACAAGTTGGCATTAATTTCAATTTTTTTTTTTTTTTTTTGGTACTGTGAATTGAACCCAGGGTGCTTTTATTTTTTTATTTTGAGTCACTAAGTTGCTGAGGCTGGCCTTAAACTTGCAGTTGTCCTGCCTTAGCCTTCAAGTAGCTGGATTACAGACATGTACCATGGTGCCTGACTCAGTTTTGATAAATTTAGTCTTGTTACAATTCATACATCTTTTTTTAAAAAAATTATATATATATATATATATATATATATAATTTTAGTTGTTGATAGGCCTTTATTTTATTCACCTATTTATATGCAGTACTGAGAATCAAACTCAGTGCCTCACTGGGCAAGCACTCTACCACTGAGCTACATTCCCAGCCCCAATTTCAATTTTTGTCAACTGACTTTAATATACTGGTGTTTTATAATGTTTTCCTTTATGTCAATATTTTTTCTTTCTAATACAAAATCTAGTCTAGGATCAGGAGCTACATTGAGCTTTCATGTCTCTAGTATTAAAAAAAAATCATCTTTTTTTTTTTTAAACAGTGCTAGGTTTGAACCCAACACCTTTCACATACCAGGCAAGCATTCTGCCACTGAGCTACAACCCCAGTTCCTTTTATTTCTCTTTAATAAACAGTATTGGGAAAACTGTTAAGCAAATTGTTAGGAACGTCAATTTAAATCTAATCATGACAAAATCAAAATGTGATTATGTGAGTTAAAATGCAGAGTAGCTATCAAGTTTGGAAATAGAGACAATTATAATATTAAATGGTGTGTTGATACTACATTTCTGTGTATGATATATGTGACATTACATGAAATATTCAAATACATTGTCCTTTATCAACAGCACAGAGGTCAGTGTGCTGTGGAAAGCTGCATTAACTGTTATTTCCACCACTCCCTGCCTAAGCTGTGGCACACAGCTACAGAAGATTTATGTCTCTGAATAACCTACATCTCTAACACATCCAGAGGAAATAATGCAGAGGCTCATTCTACAAAAAGAAGAAAATGTTTAGCTGTGTTTCCAGACTTTATAGACTATGTATAGCTTAGACACATGTTAGTGACATGAAAAAAATAGAATTTCCTTCAGATCTTTGAAGTATAACAAGTTTCTAAAGTTGAAAGTAATGAAAATTAAAAAGTTAATTTTCTACAAGGAAGAAATAAGTAGACTGGGGAAAACAGTTGGTTAAAACTAGGATATGAAGAATTTTCTTTTTTTTTTTTTTAGAGAGAGAGAGAGAGAGAATTTTTTTAATATTTATTTTTTAGTTTTCGGCGGACACAACATCTTTGTATGTGGTGCTGAGGATTGAACCCGGGCCGCATGCATGCCAGGCGAGTGCGCTACCGCTTGAGCTACATCCCCAGCCCAGATATGAAGAATTTTCACAGAGGGCTGGGGTTGTGGCTCAGCGGTAAAGCGATTGCTTAGCATGTGTGAAGCCCTGGATTCGATCCTCAGCACCATGCTGTAGTTGTGCCCAACTACAACTAAAAAATAAATATTAAAAAAAAGAATTTTCACAGAATAATATGAAAATCTCAATAGATGAAATGGTGAAGGACAGGAACTGTCAATTTACACACAGGAAAATACATTTAGGAAAATAAATTTATTCCACTAATATTAAACTTTATTTTCATTAGAACGTATTTAAGCTCCCAGATAAAAAAATAAATACCAGACAATTTAGTAGATGTTTGAAAGACAATAAGAACATCAGAGTGTCTGGTAAATAAATAAGTAAATATAGTGACTTCCATAAATATGTACTTGGTTTTTTTCTCTTCTTAGCTTCTTTAATAAGCAAGGTAATGATTATAATATATTATTTGGTTTTAGATTATATGTACTCACAAACATGCAGAAAAAAGAGGA